ACACTGAAAGAATAAATATATCCATGTTGTAAGGGAACACAGTATCACAGCTTATTGTATCTCAACTGCTCTAAATAATCCTTTCCACAACAATAACAACTTGCACTTATATAGCACCCCTCCACACAGGGTAGCGTCTCAGAGCGCGTAACAGTTGCTCCGAGCCGGGGGTGGGTGGGGTGGAGGTGGCCGGAAGCACGGTGGAAGAGGAAGATTTTCAGGCAGGACTTGAAAGAAGGGGGAGAGGGGGCAAGGCAGAGGGATTGAGGGAGAGTGTTCCGGAGTTTCGGGGCATAGTGGCTGAAAGCACGACCTCCGATAGTGGAGCGGAGGGTGCGAGGGATGAACAGGAGGCTGGTGCCAGTCGAGCAGAGGTGGTGGATTGGTGGATTGGGGAGTGAGGAGGTTGGAGAGGTAGGGAGGTGCAAGGGAGTGTGAGGATCTTGAAGTTCAGTGATGGGGAGCCAGTGGAACCTGGCAAGAACTGGTGAGATGTGGGTACGGAGTTTATACCGGGTAAGTATGTGGGAGGCATCAATTTCAACTGGTCAGAAATTAAACAATTTACTTAAAGTTAATTATGTTTTGCTTTCATCTACTTTTAAAAAACATATTTTTCCTTTTCCAACTTTCTCCCCTTTTCTGGAAGCAGTGATTCATGCTGGAGTATTGTTCCTTGAAGTTGGCTGCCTTCTGGTACATTGCCTAAGAGCCCATCCTTCACTTTTGGACCTAACAGTGACAGGGAAGTGGGAATAGAATTGATAGCTCGAGTGGGGAGAGTGGGGGGTGTGGGGGAAGAGAAGCTAGCATAGGCACAGTGATAATGGGAAAAAAGGAGAATGGGTTCAGAGGAGATAGCTCAACAACCACAACAACAAGTTGCATTAGTATAGTGCCCTTCATGTGGTGTAGCATCCCGTAGAGCTCGAGTGGGATGTGTTTGTGTGGGGTGTGGAGCAGGAAATTAGAAAAATTACAGCTGAGCCCAATCCTGTCCTCACTTGATGTTCACAATGGTATAACTTAAAATAGACATTGATGAATGAAAACATTAACTGATTTTTCCTTCCTAACCCCAGGGTACTGTGTCAAACTAAAAGTATCATCCAGCAGCCCTGATCACATTGGGATCAACTAACTTAGCACAGAGTAAGCATCCAAATGGAGTTCATTGAAATTAGCTCTTGCCAACCTGTGCCTAATACTCTCTGGAAAGAGGTGAGAAGGGTGCGTTCCTCCACTGAGAGAGTCTGTGCCACCCTCAGTCTGATTTCGATACTCTTAAGAATGGGGATGGGTTTCCACATGGGTCAGACACCCAGCTGCCTTGTAAAATTGCCACTAGGTCTTTTCTGGATTTCAGGCTCAACTTCAGACTAACCGAGTAACCAGACAGTCATCCCCTCAAACATACAGATTTTGTACTTCAGCAAATGCTCTGGTCAAGGGGAGATAGAACCAGCTTCAGAGTTCTTGGGTTTCCTTTCTGAAGCACAGATAACATGGAGGAAAGAAAGCATTCAATTTGGAAACAATGCAGCCCAGTGTGCCATGTAGATCAGAAAGGCTCGAGGTTCCATCCCCAAAGTGTGAATCTGGTAGGGTTGTGAAGTTTAACAGATTTATTGCTATGAACATATAAGTACTTTGCACTGTCCTTTTTCAGTCCTACGAACACATATGTACACGATAAAGCCATCCTAACAGTTTCATGCCTGATTGTCAAGTAATATTGTTGAATGTCACTTATAAAATATAATACAAAATTACATTTGCATACCACCTTTCATGTTGGGAGGACGTCCCAAGGCAATGAGGCATTTGGACCCGAGCTGGGGGGTCGGAATCGAGGAGGGTGGAGGGCAGGAAGGGGAAGAAGGCCGAAGGCTCGATCGAAGAGGAGGGTTTTGAGAAGAGCCTTGAAGGAGTCAAGGGAGGGAGTGAGGCGAAGGGAATGTGGGATGAAGTTCCCTAGGATGGGGGCAGAAAGGCTGAAGGCCCAACCGCTGATGGCGGGGCGGGCTGGGCAGGGCTATGTGGAGCAGACCAGAACTTGCTGAGCGGAGGGAGCAGACAAGTTGATACAGGATCAATGGAGGGCCACGGAGGGCCTTGAAGGTGAGGATGAGGATTTTTGAACTCTATCCTCTGGGGGATGGGGAGCCAGGTAGAAAGGACAGTTGAGGGTCAAACAAGATGCCAAGGTTCCGGACCGGCTTAGTAAGGTGGAGTGTGCATTCTTGGACGGTGATGCTGTCAATTCCTGGGGTGTGGAAGCGCTGACGGGAGCCATTCAAGAGGGCCTTGGTCTTGTTGACATTCAACTGTAGAAAGTTAGCTCTCATCAAGAACTCGATGTCTGACAGACAATCTGTCAGGACAGCAGTGGTCCTAGAGACGAGGGTGGAGGCAGAGAGATAGAGTTGGATATCATCCAACTTATGCAGCAAATCAACAGCAAACCCCCAAATAGGCCCAATCATGAAGAGAGGCTTTTTAAAAGCTTTTGCTATCAGTGATTTACTTTAGCACAGTGCGTGAGTTAATATTGATTAGCGATATAGATTTGAGGCCTGGTTGGAAATCCACATCTCAGGGCAATACAATGCAGAGACATTGTAGCTGTGGGTGTAAAATTTTCCCAGTTCTGAAAGATAAGAGCAATATGAAAGATAAAGAACAATAAAATGAAGGAAAGGTCTAAAGGTAACTGTGGTTTGTTTGAGAATGCTTATTCATTATCAATCGGCTCTTTCAAAGGTGTCTCTGCCCACACGCATATGCGCTGATTGAATGATCTGGAAGAGAGATTCAAAACAATAATAATAATCCTTGCATTTGACATAGCTCCTTATCACGTCCTTGAGAGTCTCAAAACGCTTCACAGAATATACTGTAGAGTGGATTTACTGTATATTTTGTGGGCAGATAATTGCGCACAGCGATGTGCCACAAATAAAGTATAACTGTGAAGTACTCTGAGACTCTACCCCACGTGAAGAGTGCTATATAAATGCAAGTTGTTGTGGTCAAAGCACTTTGAGCTGACCTCCCGATGTGAAAAGCGCTCCAGCAAAACAAGGGGAATGCCGACTTAAAATTACAGCCAAATCGGCAAGAAGTGGGATAGGAAAATATTTCGTCCAAAACTGAAAGAGTGGGATCTGTGCAAACAGGACTGACATATTTTAATGCATAAAAAAGTGAATGAAAACAGTTGTTGGTTTGGGTGGTTCTTCCACTTTGCAGCCGTGCACTTGAAACATTCCACTGAGCTGTATTTTGCCCAAAGGCACTGCAGTGTGTGAAACTCTGGTCTTGCCAATCATACAATTATCCTGTTGCATAATATGTTAAGCTGACACACTTTAAACTCAGTTGACTTGCTGTTTTTTTTTCCCCTCTTCCTGTTTAGTTTGCATGGCATGAAACACAATTCCAGGAGTTGTCTCTGCCATCTGCACATTTTATCTTAACAAAATCTAAACAAGTTCGTGGCTATGCTTTGCGTGAGGATTTGTCTCACACCTCTGTAGTTGCATGTTTGAGCCATGGGAGTGGTCGAAACTGTTGCCCTATGTATGTCTGGGTGAATTCCTGATCACTACAATGTGCACATTTGACTCCCCTCTTGGAACCCAATGTCAATCCCACTCTTAATTGACTCTAGGATTCCCCTAGTGGTAGTTTGCCAAATGCTTGCTGAATTCAGTCTTACCTTTGAAGCCAGTTTTCCGCAATTCTTAAAAGAACACGCAGAAAAACAGCTTCAAAATTAATGCTGTTAATTTGCCAAATTTGCTTGGAAATGCTATGTTAATGCAGTAACTCTTAGACCCTTCGGGTCGACACTTGGCTCATTTATGAAACGGCTTGGTGCTGTAATAATCCTTGCAGATCTTAGAATTTGGGGTGGCGCCTGTAACTTTGAGAACGCCTCACAATGCTTTGCAAAGTTTCTGTGGAGTGTAGTGACTGTGTAATGATTAGTTAGTAGGGTTAGTATTCTGGAAGGATGTGTTTGAAAAGTTTGAGACTTTTGCATGCTGACCTCTTTTGCGATCTCGTGATCAGTTGGAGAAGGGGAGGAAAATCTGGACAAGGAAGGGAGGGGCAATGTCGTTTGTCACATACCTCAAGTCAATTTTCTTGCCAATTGACCAATGAGTATCATTGGCAGTACCTGTGTTGAAGGATGTCTGGTGGATTAACCCAGTTTGGGATTAAGCAGGGCGGTATGGATGCAAGTTGATTTTGGCAAGAGGGGAACAAATAATGGAACCCTTTCCAAGTTATAGAAATAATTGCACAACACAGATTGCAAATCTCACCAGTTCATGTTTACAACAAGTGTTGGCCTGACTCAGTTGACACAAACTCTGGGTCTGAGATTTGGGGTTCAAACCCTGACATTGGGTCTCTGAGCTCATAGTCCATCCATGGCTTTGGAGGAGATGTTAAATTAAGGTCCTCTCTGCCTGTTCAGGTGTATATTAAAAGATTCCTTGATCTGTTCAAATAGACAAAAGAGCCAAGAAATCTCAAGGTAAAATTGATGATTCACACCATTGCTAGGCATGCAATTAGCTGTGTGAAAATTGGCTTCTGCATTCACTTACAAATGCAGTCACCATGCTTCACAGCAAGTGTTTTGAATTGTTAAACGTTAGACACTATATGAAATGCAAGGATTATTATCAATGGCTCATTTCATGTATTTGAAACCTCTAGGCTTGAATAGCTTTGCCAGTGATTGCAGTTGCAATGCTGTCCGCAGTGGCTTGCTTCTAAGTGTTGTGAGAGCAAGATAAATGTCATCAACAAACATGAGAATTTACTGACTGATTACACATCCCATATTGTTGTTCACCATAACATATACAAGAAATTGTAAACTTGTTCCTTATGATGATGGTGCTTGCTGACGTTCCATTTATCAGGGACCAAAGCAATCGTCACCTGCTAAATCTTTAACTGTGTATTTTCTTCACCTCTAGATACTGATGTCTGTGCTGAATCGAGATGTGAACAGCAATGTACTGATAACTTTGGGCGGGTCGTATGCACATGCTATCCCGGCTATCGTTTTGACAGACAACGTCACAGGAATCATCAGTCACCCTATTGTTTAGGTGAGATCCCTAATTGTAGGAATTATCAACAACAACAAATTACATTTGTATAGCACCTTTCACGTTGGGAGGATGTCCCAAGGCGCTGAAACCTTAGGAAGTCCTCCCGATGTGAGACACAGCAACTGTGTCTGCAGAAATACACAGGGTTCACTGATCAGTGTCTCAATATTAGTGATAGTAATTTTGCCCCCTTACACCCACAATACTGTATTGAGCCACAATGTACAACATAGGAATAGAAAGTCACTAAATAGCTTTGGTGGTAGTGAATATAGAATCTTCTTATTTTTCTTCCATTCCAGTATCTTTCCTGTTCTGTAGATCAGTAAAAAGTAGCCACTGCTGTTCTCTGCAGATATAGATGAGTGTTCAGCAAGCCACGGGCACCTTTGTGATCACAAATGTATTAACACACTCGGAAGCTACAAGTGTGAGTGCCAAGAAGAGTTTTACTTGGATGTGGATGGAAAATCCTGCCTCAAAGCTATTAATAGTAAGTAGAAACCTTCTTTTCACGATCTACATCCAATTTGAACTGCACTGCACATGTTGGAAATGGTGGAGCAAGAATGTATGTTGTTTCAAATAATAATTATCATTCAGTTATTAAATACATGCCAATGACAGGATTTCTTTTCTAGGAGAGAATCATGTCATGTAATTCTATGTCATTCAGCTTGTGACGTGCCTTGCGATGTCCTCTCAATGTAGAAGGCATAGCTAATAGGTTTTGCTTCAACCCAAATCTTTGGTAAAGCATTCCATGTCCTAATAATCACGTGTAAAGAAACATCTCCTAACTAACCTCTCAAACGTCTATATTCTAGGGAAAATAACTTCTCTCATCTCCGTTTATAAGTAAAACCTTCCATCTTTAGTATCATCATGGTGTATCTTCTCTTGTACCTCCTCATTTGTGGGCAAAACGCTCACAAAATATACAGTCAATTCACCTTACAGTATTTTGTGGTATAATCCTCTAACCCATGGCCTTATCAATAATTTGTACATTATAATTATTGCAAATTCAATCCAAACTTGGGAAAATTCTTAAACTGATGTATGACCGACTGATATAATTGCCTCACATTTCTGAGCCTGAATTCCTAGATATGATCACAAGAGATTTTCACCTGATTAAGGCCCTTCGGCTATTTGATCTGATTCTTTTAGAATACCAGTACTAAACAGTCATAAAAACCCATTTTGTTTGGCAGCTTGGGTCTTTATTGACAAGCATGGAGGGAAAATAAAGAGAAAAGGAAATAGATTAAAAGACAAGAAAAAAAGAAAAAAGGAGATGATTATCCAGCACACTACCTAAGCTATGCAAAGTACCTAACAAGTCACACTACACACCATTATTTTCACCACTAAACTAAATAAACTGGCTGCTCTGGGTGGAAATTCCTTAGTTCGGAAATTGTTCAAATCTTTCGGGATCATTTTGAATTTGTTCCCTATTCAGAATAGGGTACAATGTGATAGTAGTAACAACAACAACTTGCATTTATATAGTGCCCTTCATGTAAGATAATGTCTGTGAGGGCTTTGAAGTGATGAGGTTGGACACTGAGCAGGTGAGTGAGAAGAGAGAAGAGGGATGGAAGACGTGACCACAGATGTGGTCAAAGAGGTAGGTTTCAAAGCGTCACTTAAAGACAACTGGAGAGAAGTTTAAAAATCAAACATCAATTTATCTCATGCGTAATGATCAAATACCCATGAATGATAATTATCAGTTGTCATAGTTAATTTACTGATTTATTGACCAGCACAGATTCACCTTAGTCTAAATAAACGATGTCACAAGTTTGCCAGACATTGCAAACATCATATATCAAAAGAGACCATTTGGCGCAGTCTAGAACAATGTTGTGGCTCCACAATGAGAGTATGTTTATAGACATCTCACCCAATATATCAAAAAAAACTCCCCTATGTTTCATATCATGCATCCTTCCCACAGGAGAGAACATTCCTACATCAAATCCATTCTAAGGGATTCGCAGTGAGCGTGTGGTATTCATTAGCCACCCTCTATCCTTCCATGAAACTTTGTCTGTCACAAAAAGCTTCTATGCAGGGAAGGAGTTTGGTTCAACATACTGTAATTGCTTACCTAGTGACTCCCCAACTTTAGCTAGGCTTCCCCAAAAAATCTAGCTGAGGTTGGGAACTAACCATACAGATAATTATGTAGAGGAGCTTTTATCGTGTTACCAATGTATTGTATACTGTACCATATTATACCTTAGTTTTCACAGGCATACATCTGCCTAAACACGCTTCCTTGTTCCTGCATCTACAGTGTGTTGAAATTTAGACTCATTTCCTTGTCTCCAGTTCTAACTCATTCTTTCTTTGGACATCAAGAATGAACTGTTTGCTACCAGTCTATAATTTCTCCTGGAATCTAACAGCTATTAAAATGCAATCTTGGGCTCCTGTAACCACTATTTTTCTTTTGGCTTGTTTTTTCTCCTACGTTTTCCAATCATGGTCGGTTCCTCAATTGAAAATTTTTTTTAAACCATTTTTTGGCATTGTTACTAGCTTGTCTGCGGATTAAAGGTTCACGTGTTGCACGAACAGTACCAGATCAGAGTCCAGGCTGATTCACTGATGAAGATATTCACTGTTTTGCCTTCTTTCAGACAGCAGTCAGATCAAATCTGAACATCTGATGAGTGCTGGCACCTGTTCAGTCACGTGTGAAGAATTTATAGACATGAAGCAGACCCTGGCACAGCTTAAACAGAAGGTAAAAACACAATCCTTATTCCAATATGCCTATCCTGCTCTTAATCTTTGTAGTGAAACATTAATATTACCAAGGACTCCTTTCACATATGTTGTACTGGACTAGGAAAGACCACCGCATTTGGTCAAAGGAAGCAAAACATTCACTCCTCGATCTCTAATATCCTCAATCAATTCAAATTCTTTCCATTCAAGGCTAAAATATTAACTTTAATAATGTACACCTTAAACAATAGGTGTTCGCTTTAAAACCAAGGGTGTTGCTGTGCTTTTTCGAGGGTGGTGGTGGTGGTTGGGGAAGTCCCACAATTGTTAATTGTACTCTCAAACGCATAATAAGCTTACGAACCTAAGAATATACTGAGACCTGGAAAGTAATTCATATTTAGGGATCCATCACATAACAATCCCGGACACTAGAAATCTCATCCTGGCTGGGGTCAGGACACTGGATTTATTTGAAAAGCAGCTTAGTGCTTTAATGAGGCAGTAGGGCTGGTGTTCTAAAAGGATGAATTCCCAAGAACCGATCTTGTGATTGGCTGCCAACATGTCCAAGTATCACGTGAATAATGGATCTCTTGGGTGAGGTATTGCCTGGCGCCTGAGTAGCTGAATCCATTAGGAAGGAAAACAGGAGTTAAGAACATTGCCTCCAGGAGGGGAGGCGGGGAGGGGAAAGAGGAGGGATTTTTTTTTCTTAAAAAAACACAGCGCATCCGAATCATAGTGTGACTTTTATTGCATTACATAACATGAGGTAGTTATGGTCAGATTAGCTCTAACCTATCATTAGTCACTGAATCAGCTTTGTCTCACAGGCATACTCCATTCTTATGAATGGCTATTTGTTACTATGCTTATTCCAAACTGATTTGTGGCGTTCTGAAGCACTACAGTTTGAAAGCAGGTCTATCGAGAACGGCAGTCCGTAAAAAATGTGTATGAAATAGTTTTTAATTGAGTCAGGATATAGTGTGTTATAATAATAGTAATCTTAGGGTTAATGCATTTGACACAACTTGCTTCTAACTTCCTGACAAAGCCAGAGGCTACATACATGAATTAATGTGCTGTGTTACATTTGGTGCCAAAACAATTTAATTTGGTATTAAAAGGGCCCCGTCTTTATGACTAAAAGTGGTCCCATTACCACAACATTGTTGATTACACTCCAAATGATGATGGCATTGATAAGTGGGAAAATGTCACAATGCTGCAAGTAGGCAATGCTCTTCTGAATATAACGCTGGGACCTGCACTCCAGTACATAGGAAAGAAAGGAACCAATGCCTTTAAAAGAGGCGTCAGGGAGAATATTAAGACAACGCTGGGCTGAGGAAATTATAGGCATTTTGAGTTAAACATGTCTAATGATAATAATCCTTGCATTTGATGCATGTCTCAAAGGGCTTCACATGATTTACTATTGAGTGTAGTGACTGTGTATTCTACAGGGAAACAAACCTGCTTTGAATGTGGGAAACAAAAGATTAATAGAGCATGTTTTACAATGTGAAGTATTTCTCAACTGATGAATACTATTTCTTTCTCCAGCTTTTGCTGGCAAACCTAGATAATTCCAGTGAAAAAATACTGTTGGCTGGAAAGTGCACAGACTCTTTACAGTGCCCTCTGAATACACCTGGGCACCCTGGTACGCCCGGCCCACCTGGTAAGCTCGAACACCACCAACAACAAATTACATTACATGTGTATAGCACCTTTCATGTTGGGAGACTGTCCCCAAAGCGCTGAACAGTCAACGATTTGCACCAGACCTGGGGGTTGGGATCAGTGGGGGTGGAGGGCAGTGAAGGTAGGTAGGGGTAGGAGGGTGACCGAAAGCACTGCCGAAGAGGAAGGTGGCTTAGATGCTCACTTTAAGGTAAGGAGGCCTGAAATTGCACATTGCCTTGAAATGTATTGTGCAAAATTTGGTAAATTTCTGAAATTCAGCCTTGATTTGAAAACTGGCTTTCTGTAGTTTTTAAAAGGTTGTTATCAAAAGGTGGGGCCCTGAAGCTCAGTGGTTAAAGCACTTGCTTTGTAAGCGAGAGACCCGGGTTCGATTCCCAGCAGGGTGAAACCTTGGGCAAGTTTCCTTTCTCCACACGCCTGATAATAATCCTTCAAGAAAAAAAATAATAAATTGGTCATTTCAATCCACAACTGTTTGTGGGATACTGGTGTGCGCAATTGGCTGGCGCATTTCGCCCACAAATATACCGTCTATTCACTTTACAGCCTTTTCTGTGAAGCGCTTTGAGACGTCTAGAAGATATGAAAAGCGCTATATCAAATGCAAGGATTATTATTATTATCAGTGAATGTTAGCAGGTTATTAAACTAGTGTGAACATCTAACTTTCTCCAACTGAACGTTAGCAAGACCGAGGCTCTCCTGATTGGCTTGTGCCAGCGCCTCCGCACCTCGGGCGCTGGCAGCATCAGCCTCCACAGCTGCACACTCAACTTCGCGAAGCCAGTCAGGAACCTGGGTATCTTGTTTGACTCTAAACTGTCCTTTCTCCTCCACATCAGCGCCATGACCGGCACTGCCTACCACCACCTCCGCAACATTGCCAGATTCTGCCACTTTCTCACCCCTCAGGCTGCCGAAACCCTCACCCACTCATTCATCACATCAAGGCTCGATTATGGAAACTCCCTCCTCATCGGCCTTCCCAACTCTTCCCTTCACAAACTGCAGATCATCCAAAACTCTGCAGCTTGTGTACCAGGCTCCGTGACCCCATCACTTGCCCGACTCCACTGGCTCCCCATCCCTCGGAGGATCATATTCAAGATTCTCATCCTCACTTTCAAGGCTATCCGTGGCTTTGCTGACTCCCTGCTAACCTGCCCCTCCCTCCTTTCAGCGTACTCCGGCCTGCTCCATCTCTCCCGCCCGACCTACCATCGATGGCTGGGCTCTCAGCCTCTGCCCCCACACTCTGGAACTCCATTCCACAGTCCCTTCACCTCGCTTCCTCCCTTGCCTCCTTCAAGGCCGGACTCAAGACCCTCCTCTTCGATAGTCGCCCTCCCACCTCTCTGTCTTCCCTCACCCCTATCCCACCCCTCCCCCATGCTTGGGTCCTGACCCCTGACTGTCCAGCACCTTGAGACATTCTCCCGACGTGAAAGGCACTCTATAAATGTAATTTTGTTGTTGTTGTCTTTACCTGACATCCACACACTCGTGCCTGTTTGCAAGGGTGTCACTGGATACCGATGAGGAGTGGGAAGTATGTTTTTTAATCTACTTGTGGCATTTTGAAAGGGAACATTTGACTGTAGAAGTACCCTTGTGAGAAAATAAAGACACTGGTCTAATGATAAGAAATGTTTTAAGAGTCCGAGATAGGGTTTAGGAACACGAGTCAAGTATGAACAGGAAAGCCAGCAAAGTTCCACTGCTCAGTGTTTGAACTTTTTGCCTGTGTTTAGAATTAAGAAAAAGCAATGACTCGTCTACACGCCATTTCAAGAAAAGCCTGGGGGGGGGGACTTTAAAAACAAGTTTTAACTGTTATGATCTCTGATACCAAATCTCTGCTGAGTTTTCATCCAAACATTTATATGGTAGTTCTTTAAAAACAAAGAGATAAGACACTGACTGTGAATTAGAACTGAGGCTTAAGATATTTTACACTGATTGTTCACACTGAGCATAACATCGCCATCAAAGTATGATGTTTAGTGTCTTGCCTTCGATATGGCATGCTTTCGTGACTCTAGTGAACTAATCATTGATTTGTGGCTGAAATCCAATGTAAACTTAAAAAGACAGACTTTGCGTGTTAGCTGTGCCACATATTTTTAGCTCACATCCGCCAATGAACAACTTTCTCCTCTGCTTAAAGTTGTGGAATTGATAAATAAATAAAAGACTTGTGGCCACAGCTACATTTCACCAAAGCAGCGTGCGACGGTAGATCATTGTTAGAAAGCGGTAGCCATGGTCGATAAAATCCCAACCAGCGTGACAATGGGACACAAACCAGTCAGTGCTTCTGCATTCATTGTGCGTACACAAGCAAAGCCGGCTGCCCTTCTGTCTGCTTGCTGGCTCTCCATTGCTAATCAGTGGCTAAGATAACTTCCATGTCACCAGGGTGTTGAAACGTGTGCACACAGCCAGCAGGAAGTCATTTCGGTGGCGACCTGATGACAAGGAAATCAGCCACTGTTTATCAGGGAAGAAGCTGCCCAGCGTTTTGAAACAAGCCAAGAACATCTGAGGTTGTCAAACCGAGGTCCCATCTGCCTGTTTGAGTGGGTATTAAAGATGTTCTCTGACACTATTTAAAAAGAGAAGGGAGTTTCTCCCAGTGTCCCGGCCAATAATCCTTCAGATTGAATTGGTCAATCACTTTGCTGCTGTTTTTTGGTACAATATACCATCACTACACTTAACAGGAACATTAATAATAATATTATTATTAATAAGACATTAATAATAATAATTATTGCATTTGACACAGCGCCTCATCGTGTTTTGAGACGTCTCAAAGCACTTCACGGAATATACTATAAAGTGAATTGCCTGTATTTTGCGGGTGAAATGTCAAATTCTTGACTTTGTAAGTGCTGTATCAAGTGCAAGGATTATATAAAAAAACATTGTCCCAAACATGAATTGTTTTGATTACTTCAAGGTCCGCCCGGACAGTCTGGACATAAAGGCGTCATGGGGCCGATAGGACCTCCAGGGTCTCCTGGTATACAAGGACCCAGAGGTGACATGGGTCCTATGGGACCTGTCCCTGATCTATCCCATACCAAGAGAGGAAGACGAGGTCCTGTGGTAAGTGAATGTCAAAGTAAATGGATGGTATTTGCTCCAAGACTAGAACGTCACCGCTGAGGAATAATCATGAGTTACGTTGGCACGACAAGTTTTAAATATGTTGCTAAAACGCTGTCAAGGAGGCTCTTGATCTGTGTAGCATATTTGTTGCTGCAAACTTAGCACTATTCTGTTCCATCTGATAAGGTTGCAGGTGTATCCCTATCCTGCAAAAAGTAATTTTGTCAGGCAATTCGAAGTAAAAATAAAAATATAACAAGGCATTACAAATCTAAAATTAGACATTGCAGTATTACATTTATTTCAGAGATGAATAGGCACACGGATATGATATAAATTTGATAGCTCTTAACTACACTATAACAACAACATAGTGCCCTCCACGCAGGGTAGTATCTCAGAGCGCTCAATGAATTTACTAGACAGAGTGCAAGGAGCACCATAGCCCTTACACTTTACATTTCAGTCTCCCGTACAATAATGTTACTCACTTTGCGCTGGGTGAATATTACCGTTTATTGTTCTCCCATGATATAAACTTAGCCATTGAACGTTTAAAGCTCTTTAAAGTAAGTGTGATTGATTATCCATTGCAATCAACTATGTCTATTATATTTCCAGGGTGCACCTGGGACACCAGGAAGGAATGGCCAAAAGGTACTAAGTATATCCAACATTTGTGTTCGTGAAATAAGACGATTTGGACCCAATCAAAAAACCTGTGTCTACCACCTTTCGGACTTTCGGGGTGGAATTACTCACTTATACATAACAATACTCGCACAAACTGTCATTTTATTGGTAATGTAACACTCCACCTTGCTAAGCCAGTCCAGAACCTTGGGGTCTTGTTTGACCCTCAATTATCCTTTCTACCCCACATTTGCGCTATGACCCGCTCTGCCTTCCCCCACCTCCGCAACATCGCCCGGCTCTGACACTGTCTCACACCATAGGCTGCTGAAACTCTCATACACGCCTTCATTACATGAAGGCTCGACTATGCAAACTGACTGCTTGTCGTCCTCTCCAACTCCTCCCTCCACAGGCTGCAGATCATCCAGAACTCTGCAGGCCGTGTCCTCTCCCGCACTAGGTTCCGTGACCCTATCACCCCCATCCCCACCCAACTCCACTGGCTTCCCATCACACAGAGGATACAGTTCAAGATCCTGGTCCTCACCTTTAAAGCCTTCCACGGTCCTGCTCCCCTCTACCTCCCAACCCTATCACCCTGTTCGCTCCCGCCGCTCAGCGGGCTCGGCCGCTTCACGTCCCCCACCTTGCTCACCCCACTATTGGCGGGCGGGCCTTCCACCAGTCTGCACCCTCTGGAACTCCATCCTGCAGTCCCTCTGTCTCGCCCCCTCCCTCGCCACCTTCAAGACCTACCTCAAGACCCTCCTCTTCGACCGTGCTTTCAATCTCCCTGCTTCACCCCCTCTCCTCCACCATCCCCCCCACCCGACCGTCAGCTCGTGTCCATAACTCTGTCTGTCCAGCGCCTTGGGACATCCTCCCGATGTGAAAGGGCTTTAACAAATGTAATTTTGTTGTTGTTGTTATGTATGAAATTGAGAAAAAGTGATAGTGAACAAAGGCTGTATGATGATATAACTTGTGGGAGTAAATTATACCAAATCGATAATGCCATGCACTTATACAGCCCTATGTGCTTTGTTAATCACTCAGGTTGACAACAGTATAGCTTGCTCAGTGAGAACAGTTCAGAACTTGGCTAATTCCTCTCCCTGCAGTCACATACCTTGCTTATACTCACACAAGAGTAATGGCCTCGAGGAGAGGAATCAGAGACCATTGAACTGTATCCCAGGACATTACAGGTGCCTTCAGCAGAAAAGGGGAGAAAAAGGAAAGGAATAGGATGAGATCAGATGGGTAAAAAGGCCTTCTTCATCTCAACAAATCTTATGTATGGAATTTATAAAAAAATCTCTGGCAATTTCCTTTAATGGTGGATGCTTCTTTAACCATGCTGTTTTTCCCTCTTTGTGAGTGTATGTTCCTTTCTCCATTGTGTCTAATTTCGGAGACATTGGGTAACTTATGCTATTTTTCTTCTATTTCAGGGGGAGAGGGGGCCGCCAGGTGCCAATGGACTGCCGGTAAGACATTTGTTGAATGTATAAGAATAGAGTGCAAGGCCGTAAGAATCTTTGTATGTGATAGTCTTATCAGATCATCAAAAATGGCAAGCTGTGTTGGTTAGACTCCAGCAGTATCCCCAGTGCACACTCTGGGATCCCTAAGCCTTTGCTCTTGCCAACCTGCGCCTAATACTTTTCGGAATTAAGGAAGCAGAATGCGTCCCTCCAGGGAGAGAGTGCAATGTATATTTGTAGGCAAACACAGCAGTCAGTTTCCACCGCAATGTCTCACAGACAGCCATGAAGTGAATGACCGGTTTTATCCTGGTGATGGTTGGTCAGGACACTGGGAAACGTCCTTGTCTTTTTGAATAGTGCCATGGGATCGACTCATTGAATTAAGTCACTAAGTCACAAGGGGAGCCACTGATGATTATACTATGTGGAGTCCTGTAACTCAGTGGTTAGAGTACTCGCTTTGCAAGCGAGAGACCTGGGTTCGATTCCCGGCACGATGAAACCTTGGGCAAGTTTCCTTACTCCACACGCCTGATAATAATTCTTCAAGAAAAAAAAACAATAATAAATTGGTCACTTCAATCCATGACTGTTTGTGGGACACTGATGTGCGCAATTGGCTGCCACATTTCACCCACAAATATACAGTCAATTCACTTTACAGTCTATTCTGTGAAGCGCTTTGAGACGTCGAAGATGTGAAAAGCGCTATATCAAATCCAAGGATTATTATTATTATTAATATGAATTTAGCTTGTGTATTTTATCACACTCTGTTACATTTGTGTCATTTCTTTCAGGGTCCCCCTGGCTCATTTGACTTTTTGTTGTTAATGATGGCTGATATCAGGAATGACATAATTGAACTACAAGAACGAGTGTTCGGCCACCGACGAGGTATTATCCTAGACACCCTGCCTCTGGATATGCAGGATATGGGATCTGGACAAGACACAGTGGATCCAACACAGTCTGGCAGTCACAGTAGGTGACCAACTGTTCCTAGACTGTTACATAACGCCTAACTGACTGTATATCTCTCTTAGCCCCCCCCCCCCCCCCCCCCACAACCCCCTGTTGTAAATAACAAGAATAATTAAGATCACATCTGTTCAAACTATCCATGTATCGGGCCACAAACTACTTCTCAGAAAAGAATGAATGTACAAGTGCTTTATATGTTTGTGTATCACAACAGGGAAGTTTTGTAAGGTTTTTATAATAGATTTTTCACTCAGATCATCATGAATCCATTTAACATCACATATAGATAATAATAATAGTAATTGCATTTGATAAAGCGCCTTATCACATCTTCTAGACCTCTCAAAATTCTTCACAGAATATACCGTAAAGTGAATTGACTGTATGTTTTGTGGGCGAAACGTAGCAGCCAATTGCGCACAGCAGTGTCCCATGATGGGCTGTAGACACTCCAAAGCAGGGCTGTTGGTATACTAAAATATTAATAAGATAGTGTGTGAATTTCTGCACTTGAAGTATGAAGAGTCTTGTGGAAGAACAGGAAACAGAGCAACATCAATAAAAAGCGATGTGTTGGTTCTAGTTCAGATTTATTGGAATTGGTTGACAAAGTGAAAGAAAATTATGATTTATGTCCCGTGTTACAGAGCCTGGGGAGGAGGTTGTGGTATGATACATTAGAGAAATTACTTGCTACTCTCCTCTTCCCCTGCTCCCTCTCAGGTCTACTGCTGTTTTGGAAGCCTGCGCATACTCAGGTGACTAAGAAATTCAAACAAAACCACAGTTTGAGACATCTGTCTGGCAGACTGGTCTGGATTTGTTCTCTCCACCATTGTGTTTGTGAGGGACATTTACATGAAGTCACTAACCAGCTCATTTCACGGTGTCTGAATTTTTGTGTCGACTGATTTCATTTGCAGATTTACCGACAAATTCCCCCACTTTGTTATTCAAGAGATAGGTTTCCTGTAAACTGCTCCAAAGGAGCAAAAAAAAATGATTTTACCTCGATTCGTCTTAATTTCCCCTTCAGTTAAGGAATATTTAATGTTTTCATTTAAAAAAAACTATGGGATCTAATTTACAGTATTTCTAATGGGATTCCTTTCTCTAGAGACCCACACAGAGGGCACTGCAGAAGTCAATCTTGCAAGTTGAGTTTCTGCAAGTTGTCATGACAAACTTCTGGTTATCAGAATTATTTCACATTTTGAAATCATTTTGCCCACAAAATACAGTCAATCCACTTTATAGTAACCTATAGAATGCTTTGAGATGTTTCAACGACGCGATAAGACGCTAAATCAAATAATCAGGAATTATTTATCATTTGCACGATTCAAATTCTTTATTGAGGGGTTACATAAAAAGTACTACAGATAAGATAGTTATGTATCGTTCCTTATTAATATTATGTTTTGTATTTTCATTCTGTGCACTAATTCCCTCTAATATAAAGTATCATCATAATCATCCTTAAATTTGATACAGCGCCTTTCACGGCAGGAGGCTGTCTCAAAGCCCTTCACAGGACTATACAGTAAAGTGTAGTGATTTTGTCAGTGAACGCAGCATTTTGTGCACAGCAATTTGGGTCCACCGGAACAGGCAGACGTAGGTTTATTGTCTCATATGAGGGATGGTACACCCAACAATGAAGGACACACCCAGCATTGCATTGGAGTGTCAGCCTAAACTATACCAGCTCAACGTCCTGATGAACTCAGGAACCCACAACCTTGTGATTCAGAAAAATGAATGCTACCAACTGAGCCAGCCTGACCATCTTACCCTGACGGAGGAACCCACTCTGGCAGATTTTGTTCAAATAAAATCTACTTGTAATAGATCGTACTTTACCTTTTCATTTCTTGGAACAATTTTCGGCAAACAATCACGCACAAATTGTTTTGGAATGAGTGACCAATTTAAAAAAAAATAAGGGATTATTACGCCCAACAAAAAAATTAACAGTTGAGTGAGCTGATGTACAACTTGGGGATAAACCCTGAGTTGGAGAGGAGATACCTGCCAGGATTCATGTTCTTGGTTGCTATCTGGAGACCACTGCAGGAAGTTGGTGGGTGATTGCTGTGTGCTGGAGGAGTAAATGGATGAGAGAAAAAATAATGAACATTCCTATTTGTGATTTAAAAAAAAGCGAAATTGCCTTAAATACTGAGTGCTAATGACATCACCTGAAGTGATGTAAATTGATGTGAGGGGAATCATTCAACATCTGTACAGATACAATTACTGCTCAGGGGCTTCAGCTGGGCTTGTTAATTCACACACATACATGTGCACACACTCACACGCACAAACACACACACAGTAACTCATCCAAGCTATGCTATTACTGAACCTTCAAAATAATTATTTTGACCAAAATTATTTTAACAAAATTAGCAGAAACAAAAAAGAACTACGGAAAGTGGAATTTATTAAAGACCCTTTTTAAATAATTTTGGAAACTGTTTTTTTTATTATTCAGATGAATTGTTCCTCATTAATTTAAATCATAGAATGATAGAATTTTACAGCACAGAAGGAGGACATTCAGCCCAGGGTGCCTGTGCGAGCTCTTTAAAAGAGCTACCAACTAGTCCCACTCCCCTGCATTTACCCCATAGTCCTACAAATGTTTCCTTGTTAAGTACCTTTACAAGTCCCTTTTAAAAGCTATTACTGAATCTGCTTCCACCACCCTTTCAGGCAGTGCATTCCAGATCGTAACAACTCTCTGGGTACAAAAATCTGTATGTGTTTAGTATGAAAAATGTACGTGGGTATCTATTAAGAATTTGTAACCAGAGTACTATTCCTATATGTTTCATTGTGTTATTGCTCCTATCTTGGTTCTTGTTAAGTATGGTGATGGGTTTCTGCATGTGTCAGACACCCGGGGCACCAAATAAAAATTACCTTGGATATCCTCCTGTTCGCAGAATACAGAAGTGAAACAGGCATCACCTGCATCGCCTATGTCCAGTTTCTATTTTGGTTTTGGAGCAAACATTGGGCTGAACCTGAACAAAATATCCCAGAGACTAATGTGAATCACTGGCATGTGAACAGATTTTGAATCTGCTATAGAGTGAAAGAGGATAAAAAGACAGAGAATAGTTGAAGTGTTTAAAACACATGAAAAGTAATGAAGGTATGATGAATATTAACATACAAGGTGAGGGTGCAGGGAGGGGGAAGAAGCTGTACAATGGTGTATTTGGAACTTGGGAAGAATAAGGGAGAAAGCTCGGAGAAGCAATGATGGCTGTAATATTGATAACACAGAGAACAGCAAGAGAAGCTGCAAGGGAGAAAGATTTGGAGACAAGGGATAAGAGAAAAAAGTTTCAACTATCAGATGAAATCTTGTAGCCTGTCCAATCAATTTAGCACACGAACATAGGAATAGAAGTAGACCATTGAGCCATTGAGCCTGCTCCGCCATTCTATTCATGCTGACCTCCAATTGACAGGTGCAACAGGAATCAAAGCTGAGTCTACGAGGATCAGTCTCACATCTCCAGTGCCCAGCAACCCACTCAAATTCATGGTTGAAAGTTGAAACGTATGAACACTGGGAGTTTATAAGAGATTGGATAGAATATGACTTCAAATACTTTGTGAATTACTTAAACCTGACAGTACATGTCATCACCGCCTTCCGTTTAATGCCGTGCTTCCAATTGGGCATTGAGGAATGTTTTGTGATTCAGGTAAACTGATGGTGGCTGGGCTCCAAGATGCTAGCTCTTGGCATGTCAGTGATGTTATCCTTCATTGATCGCCACATGAATTTACACGCACAAAGCACATCTCATCAGTAAAACTTCCCTTTTTACACTAAAAGCTTTTAAAAAAAGTGATCATCCATAGGTCAGTGCTAATCACAACACAGACAATCATCAATGGTGCTTGTGTTATGATTTCTGGTGGGGCTATAAGAACTGTAATTAAATAAGATTTTTTTTATAAATTGGTAATGTCATGCTTCAAGCTCTGGTGAAATTCGTGAAACGAAAGTGCCTGATTTTTACAGATGGTGTTGGGTGAAATGTCTCATTTAAAAATAAAAGTAGAAAGCACTTCTTCAAATACCTTTCAGCATCTTCTAATATTGCACTGGATAGTCAGTCTAAGCTGTGACCTCAAGTCCCGATGTGGGGTTTAAACCCACAACCTACTGATCCGGAGGTGAGAGTGGAACTTGTTGAACCAGGCTGATAAGAATAAGACCATGGGAATTGTAGGGAGACATGTGAATACCTGTAATTAGAAAAGAGCTCAATCTATATGAAGCAGGATGTGAATGAATCATGATAAAAATTGTTATATTTGGCATAGCCCCTTTTTACTGTTTTGCAGTGAATCATAACAAGAACTTGCATTTATATAGCGCCCTTCATCCAGAGCGCTTTAATTTTAATTTCATGCATATTTAATGATTCGGAAACATCTACGTATCCACGTCAGGATTTGAGCTCATGGTCTAAGGAAAGTCTACGTTGAGGTCAAAAGGAAGGATTTAGTCTCAGCTGACACTCCACGTGTGGCATTGTTATGGGAATGTGTGACATTGTTGCAGGTGCTGTCTTTTGGATGAAATGTTAAACTGATATCCCAGTGCCCGTTCAAAAGGACTTTAAGGATTTCATGACATTATTCGAACTTCCTGCACGCAAAATAGTTTGTCCACAATCACAGTCTGGTGCAACACCAGATTCATGCAAAAGGGGGCAGCAAGGGTAACAAATCTAACCACTCACTGCACTCATGGTTGTCTCGGATTTCCTCAGCAATTCCTGGTAATGTGCTCCAAGAGTAACGTAGTTATGCTTCAGCACTGCTAATGTTCCTCAACCTCATGTGGTGCGTGATCAGGGTGCGAATGTTAATCAATCGCAGTAACACAGGTTTTTTTGGTTCCCATGACTCTTTAACCAATTGCAAGAAACAAGATATGAATGAATCGTGCACACTAACTGCTTTGGATACTTTGGCTTCTCACTCTTAAAATCCAACAACAACAATAGGGAAAGGAAATCAACAGTAACCAGATATCTTAAACTAGACCCTTAGACGTCAGATAATTTTGTTTTTTAAAACTATGCAAACTGAAATATAACACTGATATTTCGGATTCCTGAAATAGTCATTGGATGAAATTAAATGGGCCAAAGGGCCTTCTTTATCCAATCGGTGACTTTCACAGCAACACAGGGAATATTACAGTGAAACTGCTGAAACAGCGCACAATAATAATAATCCATAGCATTTGATTTAGTGCTTCACAGAATATACTGTAAAGTAGAATGACTGTATATTTTATGGGCGAAACGCAGCAGCCAATTGCACAGCAGTGTCCTGCAAACAGTCGTGCATTGAGTGACCAAATTATTATTTTTTTTGAAGGGATTATTACCCTGGAAAAAGAACCACCAATCGACTAATAACCGGGTTTCTAGTTACTGCTAGGTAAACAGAGTAAACAATGTGAGCATAAGGAACAGATTTATTAAAGGTCTCAAACAGGAAAAAAAATCCTGCGTTCATTTATACCTACCTCAAAGTAGACTAACAACTGCATTGCAACATTGAAAATGTTCCTTTAGCACAAGAAGCCGCTGCCTGGTGTTTTTGCGACGGAGACTGCCAATTTAGTGTCTCACAAATATTTTATTACAAATACTTAAGCAAGGGCTATAATTTAGATTAATGTGAAACATAACTATGACATGTCACTGCATTGAAATGCACAGTCGTTCCTGCTGCACTGAGATCCAGGACATTATTTACCGCATTAATTCAACTGAGGTTCCAATCCTTCTGATTCACTGTGTTCATTACTCTATACCTACGTCAAACCGACTTTATCAGAATCAGTCAACATAACGATAATAGTAAAAAAAATTACACTTTTTTAAATCACATTGGTTGCTAACCCCCTCTGAAGCATCCATAATCTCCATTACGAAACCCTTGAGGCTGAATCTCTAATGCTGTTTACTATACCATGGTTCTGTACTAATGTGGTTTCTTTTGAATATGTTTGTGTTCAAATATTACCTATAAACCTGGCTATGATTATGTTTCAAAGTCACGTACCAGTAGCTCTGGGTGTATGTTCACACTCAAGTTGAATTTTCTGACTCATTGGTCAGTAATTCTCCACATGTAGGAAGGAACAATGCATATTTTTTGGTAGCTATTATAAAACATTTTTAGCTGTTGCTGACATGAAAATGAAGTTATTAAGCAAGATTAATTCTACAAAAACATTTTTAACAACCAGTTTGCCAAATAGTTTATAAGGTTCGTTATGAGTTATTTTGCTTCTCTTTCAGGAAATTGAACTTACAAGGAAACTCTATATCACAGTATTTTATGCTGTATTGTATATGTAAGGTAACTGTATCACAGTACTGTATACTGTGTAAGGTAACTCTCTATTACAACACCAAGCCTTTAATATAGTGCCTTTCACACAGGGTAGATTCCTGCAGAGTTTGACAGTGGTGGAGGTTGGCCAGGGAGAGAGGGAGGTGCTGTACTCTGTATATATAGACAGTGTATCGCAGTACTACATACTATAAAAGGTAATTATATTATATTGCCAAATACTGTATATAAGGTAACTAACATAGTGCTCTCTCTTTATCTCTCTCCTCTCTCTCTCTCTCTCTATATATATATATATAAAGTAGCAACATGTTGCAGTACAGTGCACGCAAGATAACACAGATCATGTGCCTTCCCTGTTTGGATTACCCTACTTGTTGGGGCATTGACTTGCACAGTTGAGGACATATTTGTTGTTTCAAATCAGACATGGTTATCTGTAATATAATTCTGCAGGGTGGAAAGTCTGAAGAATAGGGATACCTCTAAGGCTTGAAATTCCATCTAATCTTAGCCAACAATGCAATTGTGACTTAAAACATTTAGACTCCACAGAATTGGGGGAAAAAACATTTTCATTTCAGTCTTACCTTGGAAATCTGAAATAAAAACAGAAGTCGCTGGGTCGGCGCTCAACAGGTCAGGCAGCATGGAGAGGAGAAAGTGAATTAATGTTTCAGGTCAATGACCTTTTCGTCAGAACGTCTAATGATGATTATTTTCTGCAAATTCTATGCCGTCTATGCAAACTTTAAGACAACATTGTCTGTGGAATTCCAGACTTCAGAGAAGGAGAAAAGAAAATTGCAGAATTAAAAATTATCACTTGGATGTGTTTTATTTTCAAAACTGATCTACTAGGTGAAATAAATGATGGAAAGAGAAGCAAAAAAAATTCATAACGAACCTTACAGACTATTTGGCAAACTGGTTGTTAAAAACGTTTTTATAGAATTAATCTTGCTTAATAACATCATTTTCATGTCAGCAACAGCTAAACATGTTTTATAATAGCTACCAAAAAATATGCATTGTTCTGTGTATTAAGGTGTCTCTTTCTGTATTCCTAATCATTGTGACTGAAAAACTGATAAGACATGGGATGGAATTGTATTGTTTGCAAGTTCTTTGGATGCTAAATGCAGGGCTGCAATTACTGCTGAAGTACTGATGCTTAACTTACTGCTCAATTACCTCTCCTATCTTAATATGTGTCAGTCTGGCTCAGTTGGTTGCAATCGAACCACTGAGTCAGAGGTTGTGGGGTTCAAGCCACATAGAAACTCATTTAGCTCATTGAACTCATTTAGTTTACTAAATAATAATGCTTATATTTAATATAGCATCGGTTTGGCTGGTTTTATATCTCAAAATACTTTGCAAGATTTACTATAAAGTGTAGTGACTGTGTATCTTTTAGGCAAATTCAACTCTTTTTTTGCAATTTGCACATAGCAGGCTCCCACAGCAGCCAAGAACTGAACTCCAATGCAGTGGTGGGGGATCCAAATGAGCCATGGAGTGAGGGTTTAAAGATTCTGTTTCACCATTTGAAAAGAGAAGGGAGTTTCTCCTGGTCAACGATGCTGCAGATAAAAGCAATGATTCACTTAATGGCTGTTTGCCATTACACTTCACGGTAAATCTTATAAAGTGCTTCGAGATGCAAAAGCAACAAGGTCCTATATCAAATATAATAATAATAATATTATTAATCATTGGCAGGAATTTAAGCCATTCAATGGAAATTTCATGCAGTGGTGCACACTTTACAGCTCAGTAGCAGGGAAAGAACCTTAAGTACTGCATTGCTGTACTTAAATTGGGAAATATTGCATTCACTGTTTTTAATATTGTTTACTTTGATGAGCATTGAAAAATCACCAAAAATATCATTAAGAATAATCCTTGCATTTGATATGACGCCTTATCACATTGTCAAGATGACTCAAAGCCCATTCACAGGGCATACCATAAAGTGGAGTGACTGTGCATTATGTGAGTGAAATTCCGCAGCCAGTTTGCACTCAGCAATGACCCACAAACAGCCATCGAACAAATTTTTATTTGATGACTGTTGGCCAGAACATCAGGAGAAACTCCCTTCTCTTTTCGAATTGTGCCATGGGATCTTTAACGTCCAACTAAACAGACAGAACCACGGTTTAACATCTCATCCGAAAGACTGCACCTCCGACAATGCAACACCCCCCAGCACTGCATTGGAGAGTCATTTTAAAAACTATGTGATTGCAATGCAAAGGTCCAGGTGAGCCATGCAGCGAGATTGTGCGTGTGGTGAGAGTGGGTGGGCGATGCCGATAGATATACGGCAACAGGAGTCTCCATCATCCAGACGTTCCTGAACTTGTTGCATGGGAGACTCTTCTTTTGCTGGTAGGTGACACCTACACCTCAGCCTTCCTTTGACCTGCTCCGTCTTCCCCCACCTCCACACGTTGCCCGGTTCCACCACTGTCTCACACCGCAGGCCGCCAAAACCCTCATGCATGCATTCATGACATTGAGACTCGATTATGCTAACTCATTGCTTGTCGCCCTCCCCAACTCCTCTCTCCATAGGCTGCAGATCAACCAAAACTCTTCCTCACTAGGCTCCGTGACCCTATCACCCCCATCCTCGCCCGACTCCACTGGCTTCCCATCACACAGAGGTTACAGTTCAAGATCCTGGTCCTCACCTTCAAAGCCCTCCATGGCTCGCACCCCCCTACTTCCTAACCTCTTACCATCCTGCTCACTCCCTCTGCTCAGCGGGCTCTGCCTGCTTCATGTCCCCGCCTTGCTCGCCCCACTATTAGCAGGCAGGCCTTCCGCCACTCTGCCCCCACCCTCTGAAATTCCATCCTGCAGTCCCTCCGCCTAGCAGCTTCCCTTGCCATCTTCAAGACTCATCTCAAGACCCTCCTCTTTGACCGTGCTTTCGATCTCCTTGCTTCCCCATTGGCCTCCACGGGATATCCTCCTGATGTGAAAGGCACTACACAAGTGTAATTTTGTTGTTGTTGTGTGGGACACTGCTGTGATTATGATTCGCCTACAAAATATACAGTCAATTTGCAGTATAGTCTGTGAAGCGCTTTGAGATGTCTCGAAGACATGATAAGGCGCTATATTAAATGGAAGTATTATTATTATCATCAGCAGTGTTATTATTATTATACCTGGCCTGGTATAGATGGAGCCACATATCTTTATGGAGGTCCTTGACATCAGAGCCTACGGTGCTTCGGAGCAGTTCCACTATTACTGTAAGAAAGCCTAAAAACATAAGGTCAACTCAATCCATCAAAGACAATATTTCCACGCAAAAACAAAATCATTATTGATGCAGTGCTTTATCATTATTAAAACATCTCAGGCGCTTCACCCAATGCAGATAGCCGCTACTCTCTGCCAGCAATAATCGCACCCGCGGCAATTAACCGATAAGGTGCCATATCAAAATTCAAGGATTACTATCATTGCTAACATTATTAGCATTAAAACGTATTAACCCAATTTCCACCGTTGTAGTGTTTCGAGAAGAAGAAAAAAAAAGTGAATAAACTCAACCTCTGGTATGAACCCGAGCAACAACAACAACAACAAAAAAAATAAGAATAAGAATAAGAAGAATAAGAAGAAGAATCATTTGAATTGGACTTTGCTTTCTTCCAACAAACAAATTAAATAAATAAATAAATAAATAAATAAAAATCCTCTGCAAAGAGAAAGAGAGAGAGAGAGAGAGAGAGAAAAAAAAAAAAAACCCTGTCTCGGTGCAGGAAGGGTGTTGGGAGACAGGCGTGTTCCCTTCGCTGCTGTGTTGCGTGACTGGAATCACATCGCTCAAGTGGCTGTACCTGCCCTGCAATGCTCGGCATCTCACGTAGCCCTGAGTCGGACTCGCACGCGAACTCGTCTCGTCTCGATTTGCACGAAGCCAATTGTTAAATGGACAATTGGGTGAATTTCTGGATCTGGTTTACATTGTGCATTCATTCCCCCCTCTCCCCACACACACCCCACCCACCCAACCACACACACACACACACACACACACCCACCCACACCCTGTGATTGCTTGCACAGCGTTAGAAGCGCTCACACACTACACTACACTACTCTCTCTCTCTCTCTCTCACTCACTCACTCGCTCGCTCGCACACACGCACAGTGCAGAGTTAGGGGGGAGTTTAACATTTACGTGATTAAAAGGCATTGCACGGGAAACGGTCCAAACAGCAGCTCCACAGGGACTGCAAATGCTCAGAGTTGAAAGAATCCCGAGGAGGAGGGAGTGGGAAGGGGAGTGGGGGGGAGACCCCCTGGGATTACAGTGGCGTTGCATTAATTCTGCACCAGGATCTGAACGTTTGCAGTTGAACTTTGCTGAACTTTCCAGCAGCTGAAGCTTTTTGCCAGTCTCGATTTTGCAACGAGAAGCCTCGTCTCTCTTTAATTCTTGCAGCTGACTATAAACGTGCGTTTTTTTAAGTGCCAAAGCATCATCGGGTTAATCAACACGACCTCAACAGTCGGGTATCAATCGTATGAAATATTGGGGCTCGAAAAAGTCTTTTGGGAGTGAGTGGGAAGTGCCTGATGTTGATTTTGTATTCTGCTGCACCAGAGTGGCTTAGGAGTCTCCCATCTCAAATGGGAATAAGTTATTTTTTTTGACTTGCCATTGCTGGTGTCAGCTTGTATTTTGCCCACACAATACATAATATGTTTTAGAGTAATGTTATCAAACGTTTTCCTTTTCAACATTCTCCCATTTGATTGTATCAGCTCAGCTCCGAGCAAAGTACCAGCAGGTACGGTTACCATCCTCTGCGCTTATTATTGTTCCACAGTTGGATCGCACAATTTTCTTTGACATGATAACAACAATAATAATCCTGGCATCTGATACATCATTGAGTCGTCTCAACGCACTTCACAGGACATACGCTAAAGTGAATTGACTGTGTATTTTGTGGGCAAAATGGTATAAGTCGCAATGCTTGGATGTTACTCACCCCGTCCCTTCCCAAGTACTTATCGTCTCTGCAAACAACAACCGCCTCAAAAAATTCAAACTAGATTAGTCAGACACGACCTGCCCTTCACAAACCCATGCTGACTCTCTTTAATTAGCTCATACCTGACCAAATGTTCAGTCACTCTGCCCTGATGATGGATTCCAGTATTTTCCCTCCAACTGGTGTTAAGCTGACAGCTCTGTAGTTTCCTGGTTTCTCCCTCCCTTCTTAAATAAAGGGGTGACATTCGCAATTTTCCAATCTAAGGGCCCAATTCCTGAATCTAGTGAGCTTTGGAAAATTATGACAAATGCATCTGCAATTTCCTCTCCTGTTTCCTTTTAACACCCTGGGATGGAAACTATCAGGTCCTGGAGATTTGTCTCTTGAGTCTGTCTCATTATTTTCTCCATTACCTTTTTTTTATTTATATTAATTTTATTTAGCATTTCTCTTTGACTTATTTTTAGGTTCCCCTATACGGCTGGTATTTTGTTTTAATCCTTTACTGTAAAAACAGTAGCAAAGTATTTATTTAACAAGTCATCCATTTCCTTATTTTCCATATGGTCTCACCTACACCTGTCTTTAAAGGAACCACATTCCACTTGACATTCTCTTTCTTCTAATATATTTATAAAAGCTTTTACTATTGGTTTTAATGTCCCTTGCGAGTTTTCTTTTCACACTCCCCTTTTGCTCCTCTTGTTACACTGTAGGAGGATTTAATTTAACAGGAATTGGGTGATATCTCGTGACAGGAAATAGTCTACCAAATCTTTGCTTGGCACAGCATTATGTGTTGAGTCAAAACATTCAACTGAGCTTGGATATTGAAATATTAACCAACTTAATATTCTCAGCACCAACCTGTGAGCATATCCCTCCACTGCCCCCCTTCCCCACAACGAGAAAATGATACGTCTCCAAGATCTGGATAATCCATTTTACATTTCTCTGAAAGGAACTGCTGTACAGTTATAATGAAGAGACACAACTGTAGATGCTGGAAGTACACTGCAGGTAATCAGTATCTGAGAGACAGAAATAGGTTAAGGTGTCGAGCTTGACTTTTCATCAGAACACTAGTTGCTTTATTGGAATAATAATATTCCTTGCATTTTACATAGCACTTTATCATGTCTTCGAGACTTCTCAAAGCGCTTCACAGAATACACTGTAAAGTGAATTACTGTAAATTTTATGGTCAAAGCAAAATTGAAATAATAATATTCTTGTGCATTTCATTGGGATGACATCTCAAAGTGCTTCGTGGGATTTACTGTAAAGTGTGGTGGTTGTGCATTTTGTAGACAAGCATGTCCACCAATTTGTGCACAGCAACATCCCACAAACAACTGTGAAGTGAATGACCAATGTTATCTGGGTAGTTGTTGGCCAGGACACTTCTCTTTTCAAATACTATTGGATCTTTAATACTCACCTGAACAGGCAAATAGCATCTTGCACCTCTGACACTTGACTTTTATATCTAAAATTCATCTCATTAAATACAAACAAGATCACAAGTTTACAAGAAAAGTATGGATGAAGATCCTTGAGCCCATTTGAACTCATCCTTCAAGAATCATCCTTCATTCTATCCGTTCGATGCCCAATACAGAGTTGTGCAGTTTCTCGAATAAGTTCAGCAAACTAGCCGCTACCATGCTTCCTGATGAATTGTTCTGCCTGAAATTCTAATTTGACATCAAACTATCCAGAGCTCATGCCGTCAGTGTGGGAGATGACTTGCGTGCTATAAGGCATCAGAAAAAGAATTAATAACTTATTTTCTGGATGCTTTTTGACACCAGATATAAAATTGAAGGGTGATATACAGGAGTAACTGCCTTTGTTAAAGATTTCTGTTAAGCCTCAGTTAATGGGAGGACATTTACTGTGATTGTTCCCAACACTGTGGCCAGTGGGCAAGAGAATGCTTTCAATGGTAAATTTCACTCTAATAAGGGACCACATGTGTCAGACTCAATTATGTAGAATATTTACCAGATGCAATGCCGTCTATGTGAGAGTCAGTCTGTTGGGAACGAAAATTATCCAAAATCTATTCACACAGATGTTACACATGGATAGAGGGTAACTGCATTGTACAGATTATATTCACCAGTTTACAGCACTGTTATGGTGAATATTGGTTGTCAGATACAACATGTGGCATATTCATCAATTCATGTATTCAGATATTTCATCATTTCAGACATTTACTTATCTGTCATAATTCTTATAATGACTTCCTAGAAGTGGGATTATTAAAACATATTCATTGCATGCTTGCTATTGCTGGGGAAACTTGAAATTTTAATGGTAAAACATTTTAAAAGTTAATTTCAGACAAAAAAGTGTTTCTGCCTGTTAATGATTACCCTTCATTCTGTTGAACAAGTAAATTCAAGGTCATAAATCCTGGTCTGTACTGAGTGAACTGCTCCGCTCTTTCACTGGGCTCCTATCCAGGGCCTTGGGATGTCCTCCCGATGTGAAAGGTGCGATACAAGTGTAATTTTGTTGTTGTTGTTAATCTTGCAAGACAAAGCCTGATGGGTAGGGTGGTCCTAGCTGGGCAAGCAGCTGGACATTTGCCAGACAGTGCTCTCAATGGGAAGCTACACGGTTGTAGCTGGTTAGGCTCCAGCAGTTATCCCAACACAAACATTGAGGTCCCCAAGCCTTGGCTCTTGCTAACCTGCACTTAATAGTCTCTGGAATTAGGTAAGTAGTGTGCGTCCCTCCAGGGAGAGAGTGCACATTCCATTCCAGATGCGTGTAGATGGCACACATATGTAGAACTCTGTCTGCTTGGATAGTCTTAATCATGGGAATGAGTTTCTGCATGTGTCAGATCCCCCAAAATAGCCAGGAGCGCAATGAGATAACAATTGTCCTGAATGCCCATGGATTTGGAAGGGAAAATCAGACCGGGTTCCCACTTCTGTCTATCCACAGACTCCTGTTGAAAGATATGCATGAGTGGGGCCAGGATTGTGTCCCATGCAATCGAATATTCTGATTGTTAAAGCTCACACAAGAACTTGGGTTAAGAAATGGTGGGTGACTGACAGCCATGAAAACACAGTCTAATAGAAATAGTAAGGATTATAAATTATAAACGAGTCAAAATGTCTTCACGAGAGGAGGGAGAGAATTGATTAGACAGAAAACAAATTAGATGATTGGAAGAAGTTAATGGATTTGTCTTCATTGTTGCCATGTCTTCATGTTTCTCTGAGTCCCACAGCTTCTTTCTTGCTTTTTTACCCTCCCTTAAATTTTGCAATAATTCATGTCACAAAGGTCTGGCTGGTTGCTCCAATAATGTTGTTTGTGAAGTAACATTCTCAGTGCCCCTCTGCTTCAGAACACATTCTGGATGATATCAGCCTAAAAATGATATATTAGAAGTTGAAGGTTGTTTATTCTAAGGGATTGCTTTCAAGATTACATCATCAGCATAGGTCACCAGATTGAGAAGGGTCTTGCATCTGTTTCCCACTAAATTCTCAGACCTGAGCCTAGCGATGGGAATTGTTCTAGATGGCTGTTTGTGGGACATTGCTGTGCACAACTGGCTCCTGTGTTTTGCCCAGAAAATACAATCATTCCATTTTATAGTGTATCCTGTTAAATGCTTTGAGACGTCTCGGTAACCTGATAAATTGCTATATCAAATGCAAGGATTATTATTATGACAATTCTTTTCCATTACATTTCATGGCAATCACACTATTTCCCTTTTAAAAGTTCTTAAAATGGAAAGAATCAAGAATGTGACAATAAGAGCATGACACTGAAAGGTGAAGGAATTAAAGAAGCAGAAGAACAGGTGCGAAAACAGGGGCAATGCTTTGCCCTGCAGTTGACCATATTCAGCTGGTTAAGCAAGAATTTCAACATTGAGCACCCTGTCTTGGCACAAAATCTGTACGGTAGATATCGATCAATCTCAGGTACATAATGTTGGCAACCAGAACTACTGCTTAAAAGATGGTTAATCTGCGTGCTTGCTCATCAGGTGAGAAGAATTTATGGAAGGGATCCACTGATTATAATCCTTAGTGAATTACCCAATGAGAACAATCTTCTAAGTCCATTTGAAGAGAACACGGCATCTTCACTTTTATAAGGAACTAATAGAGTGAAAGAAATAGAGTGAAACAACTTAAAGGCTTTATTGTACAGATAATCGATCAAAGTCAGAAGAGCAGAGG